AGCATCGATAAAATTGATCGAAGAATGAGAAGGGACCAGCGACTTTTGTCAAGTCATCCTGTATTTCATAGTTCATTCATTGTTAAATTTTATGGTAATTTTACTTTTACTACCTGTGATCGATTTTTCGAAAAAATGGGTTCTGGTACTGATAAAATTTTGATCGAAATTCAAAAATCTGATCGAAATTCTAATCTGATAAAATCCCTTTGAATCCAAATCAGTACGGCCATAGATTAAGCTGGATGCTAGGATTAAACCAGTAGTATTTCTTGTTTCATGTTTTGTTTTTTTGTGAATTTTAGATATCAGCAATTATCAATTTCTTCAAAACGGTTTACCGTGAAATGCCACAGCATATTACAAACAGACGAATGTTTGAGCAACGAAATCTACGTCAATCAAGCATGGAGGACAGCGACATTGAATCTGTAATTTTTTTTTTTTTTGGTTGAAAATCCAAAATTCGTTCACTTTTCGATTCTTTTAACGTTTTCCTCCTGTTTTTCCAGGCACAAAGGTCGTGGTTTTTCATAGTCAGTATAGATTTTCTCCTAGGCTATCGAAATGTTTAAGTCTTCTCTGGTGATTGTTGAAGAAATAGGTGGTAGTTGGAGCGAAAGAGGACAGGAGGAAAAATTCCCCAAATTGTTAAAAAAGGAAAAATTCTTCAAATTTCCTCAGCAACTAGAGAAAATTTGCTTTGTACTGTTTATGAGTTGAGTCGATTTTCAGTCACTTCAAAATTGCTTCACATCATCGGTCGTCTATCTTCCGGAAAGTAGTTCCGGTGATGGTGCACAGCGTGACGCTTACTCGCTGATACCACGTGGATCGCAGAGTGTAAAGGTTTTATCCGAAGTGCCAATGTTTCTTATCATTCTGTTCCAGATTCATCGAAATAATTTGCAAAGTGAGGTACGATATATCCCCTTCTTTTTTTTTTTAAATCATAAATTTTTCCAGAATTTTAACATAGCTTTTTTTATCTTTTGAAACACCCAGAATTATGGCTGGATTTACATGGGACCCAAAATTCGCGAATTTTAACATTTATTGAGTATTTTTTCTTTTTTTCCAGAATAGTTAGAGGATTAGGAATTTTTGATTGGCGTAATATTTCCGTGGCGGTCCTAGCGTTCGTTCCGTCACCTGAAGGGTTCTTTAGCCCAGCGATTTTCCCCTTCTCCCTTAGAGGCACTTGGATATGCTTTAGCCTTACGAAATGGTTTTTTGGAGAAGTACCACTCCATTATAAGCTGGCTTTTCCCAGGTCACAATTGAAGCACCTTACGGACCAGGAGATTTGTATAAATGTGAATTATTCAAGAAAATTTGTCAGTCTTTTCACCGCCAGGCTAAAATACTAAAAAAACAGGGAAAATCAATAACTGTATAGGGAATGGGACTTTCTTGATGGCGAAATAGAAAGGGAAGAAGGGGCCATGGAAACCTGACCAAGAAGTGGCCATTCCAGATAGGAATGTCAGGGTTGTGGTACATGAAGGGTGGTAATGAAATAAAAAAAAGCTGAATTTAAATTTTGCAGTCCGCACATAGAAAGGGGACATGCCCGTAAAATTTCAGCCTCCTAGCTTTTGTGGTCCAGGATTATCAATTTTGGCGCCAAGACTCACACGCTTCCACATCTGAGACTTAGGCATGCACGGGAATTGAATTTATGCGACGATTGGAGCACTATTCTGAAATTTCAGCTTCCCAGCTTTCATGATCGCCGAGTTATTCATTTCGGCGCCAAGAATTCAAACCTCTGTACCATGATCCCCGAGTTCAAAAGCTCAATACCATGCGTGCCAATATAAAATATATAGTTCTGAAACTTATTACTCAATTTTAATAGTCTAGAGATGCTAGACTAATGTAAGAGTCATTAGATGGCCAATTGAAAAATGGATCGAACCGGGTAAAGCGATCGAACCGGGTGAATTTTGAAAAAGATTTTTTTGGGTCGTTGATAGGCTGAACCAAAATTTCTGAAGCAACGGCCAGTCCAAGCCGTGGAAAACACAGAGTGGCCAAAATCCAAAAAATTTGCTGTAAAACTTGAAACACAAATTTTGCAGCTGGTGGAAATAGCCTCAGCATTGGTACAGTATATGATATTATCGATTCCAGTCGATCAGCGTACCAGTGCCTCATTTAGCTCATCGCTAGCGGATGAATTTTACAACTCACAGATGCGTGCTCTGACATTTCTGGGATATATCGCCTCACGGAGCAACGTGGTTAGCCAATTTTCTTTTTTTTTT